CCCCCGCTGCCGTCCCGGTTCCCGCAGCCCCGCGGGCGGGCCGGGCCGGTCCTGTGCGGCGGGCAGGGCGGGCAGCGCCGGGCACGGGGATGTAGCTCAGCGGTAGAGCGCATGCTTTGCATGTATGAGGTCCCGGGTTCAATCCCCGGCATCTCCACGGGAATAACGCCACAACTTCTGGGTTTTTTTGCTTTTTTTTCTCCCCTCTGACTTATTTCCTCCCGGGTTCCCAAACGACAGCAACCTGCACCGCCCAGAAACACCCACGGTTTCTTACTGTCACAAAATGGATTGTGTGTTTAGTCCCTGGTTTCTCCTCAGGACTGTGCAGACACTCCATCCAGATCCTGGTGTCTGGGAATTCCCGGAGCACAGGGGGACACGGGCCTGGCAGCCCTGCCCAGCACCAGCAAAGCCTGCAGTTGGCTCGGGATCAAATGCCCAAGCCCTGTTACAGCTTGAAACAGCTTTTATCTACCCCGTGACCAGCGGATTTTCCTGCTCTGTTCAGTTACCAACAGCGTATCCAGCTCCCCCTGGCAGGGAGAGCCGAGCAGGGGCAGAGGTAGAGGGACAATCCCTGCCAGAACGGTTGAAATGCTCCTTACACCTTACCAGGAAACCAGGATTTCCCAGTGTATCTGTCAGCTCACAGTCTGTTAGGACCAAGCTTGTCTTGAAAATCATAGCAAGGGGGGCTAGTGCAGGGCTGGGGACACACGGAGGGGCTTTGTCCATGGAAAAGCCCCTCCCGTGCAGGGAAGTCCGTCCTGCACAGAAGCCTGGGGAGATGGGGACTCTGTGGCAGTAGGACCTGGCTGTGCTGCTCCAGCACTGGGTGCAGACTCCAGGCACCAGCTCCTCCAGGATGCTCCAGGCTGCCTGCCCCAGCTCGATGGAGTCATCTCCATTCCTTCCTGCCAGAAACCATCTTGTCACAGACCACCCTGCCTTCTGCCTCACCACCCATTTCCAGACTGGTTGCCAGGGCTCACCTTGTACCTAAATAACCATCTTACCATTCTCATTCACCTTCAGATGAGGACAGACTGAAATGGGAGAGGCTCTTCCAACCCTTTATGTTTCCACACCTCTCCTCGCACACGGTACAAGCCCCTCAGCACGAGTGTAACCTGAGAAGAGAGTAAAAGACTTATGTGCCTTTTTTTTTTTGTCCCCAGCCAAACGCGCTGGGTGTTTGAGATGTCACTAGTGCAGTGCTGAGTTCTAAGACCAACTCAAGGCACCAGCAGCTCAGATGCTCCTCGGGGTCTCCCCGTCCTGGGAAAGCTCCACGTGGCAGGAAAACAGAGGCTGGTTCCCCGCAAACCAAGCACAAAGCTGAGGCCTCCCCTCCCTTCCCCCCGGGCTGCAGGGAGGTACCCGAGTCCCTTCAGCCCTTTTTCCCCCCACCAACCCGCCTGCAGCCTTTGCCTGGGCCCGTGCCCACTCACCACTGCTCTCCCCCTGCCTTGCTGAAGCTCATCAGAGGCTTCCTGAACAGAAACAGGCCTTTCCAGGCTGAAAAAAAAGCAGCTCCCTCTCCCCACAGGCACCTCAGAGCTGCCCTCAGCCAGGCCCGCGGGCAGAGATGCCCCTCACGGGAAAATCAAGGAGGTGCTTTTGAAACTGGGACACAAAGACGGGGATTTACATCCCGACAAGAAGCTTTAGGCCCGGGAGTAGCTCCAAATGCTGAGGCACAACAGCCCCACTCCAGAACAGTCCTGCTCCCCGCCGGGCTCTGCCCGCGCTCCCTCTGCCACCCCCTACGACCTCGGCTCACGTATCGCTTCCCCACGTGCTGACTCCTCCGCCGCGCC